ACTGGGTACCGGCGCTGGGCTTACACCCGGAAATGCAAACTTTGGGTCTCCTGCACCGTAGTGCAGCACCGATGGTGCTGTACCCAGAGTTTTTATCTTAGCTCACGTGATCACATTTTAGAAATACAGTTCTAAGTAATTGTAAAGTTCGCCAACAGGTGACGCTTCTTGTCCCTTTTCGTTTTACTTGTCGCGAAAAATCTTAATTTTCAAGTTTTGTAACTTATTCATGAGAAAATGCTTATAATTATTATATTATTATTTTTATAAGTATATGTATATAACATTTTTTTATAAGTTTTTAAACAATGCTTATAAAGCTCTCGAGATAAGCTACAAGAACATGTAATAAAAAAATATATTCCGTTAAAAAAATTAAAGGTGACTTTCGCGTGATCTTGACAATTATTCAAGGTCTTACTTAAAATCCTACATGTTTTGTATGAAACGCTTTCTTCAAAAATGTTTATTTTTCAAAATAATTAAGAGCTCCGGGACTTTTCGTATACCCGGTATATGTATGCTTTCACTCAGTGAGAACACTAAAGTCGAATCGACGTCGAATCGACGTCAATGGGGTCAAAACTGCGTCCCTACCGTCAGTTTTCGAAAATAATTAAAAGTTTCGAAACATTATTTTTGGTATTAAATTACTACGTTCAACGTTGTGAATACTTTTAACATCTTATTAGAGAGAACTGTCAAGTTTCAGTTGTTTGGTGGAAACGACGTCAAAACAACGTCGAAACGACGTACATAAAATCGATAAGAGACAGATAATATGAGGATACATGTAATTATAACAAATATTATAGTAATTTAGGAAGAGATAGACATATGTATGTATTTGTCTCTTTCTGGACATGTCCTTATATATCTGTCGGTTTATACGCGTGCAACTCCTTCTATTACCACACTAATCCATTCTATATATGGATATATAACATAAACGTACACATGCAAATCTCTGTATCTAAAATCAACGTAAATTTGACCTGATCTAAAGCTCTAAAGCATATTGCCAGAGACAATATTTCACGTCACCTTGGATCTTATTTCGACGTCGAAAAGAGGTGTTTCTTGTGACCAAATTTACGTAATTTCGACCAGGGTTTTCGACGTCATTTCGACGTCAACATTTCGATATTTCGATATTTCGTCAAAATGACGTCTTTTCGACTTTATATTTCCCACTGGGCATTGTATGTACTTATAATGTAATTAATCATATACATATATAAAGAGTTTATAAATATTATATATTTAGAATTAAGTACAATGAAAGGGGCTCAGAGCCTGAACGGGATTGCAATATTCCAGTCAGAAATGACTCGTCGATCGACGAGTCATTTCTAACTGTCCAGACAACACGCATGTCTAAACGACGTCTTAAAGACGTTTTAAAAGAGACGTCTTTAAGACTTTAATAAAAGACGTCCAGAAGACGCCAGAGAAAAGTCTTAAGACATTGTCAAAAAGATGTCTTTATGATGTCTTATAAAAATGTCTTGAAGACCTTTTTAGAAAGACGTCTTTATGATGTCTTAGAAAGCTATCTTTAGACTAGAACAAAATATCGATTATGTGTCATATAGCGTTTGTAATATAATTTTTAAATAAGTGTCATTAATGAAAACTGCAGAGGTTGCATTTATGTGCAAACATTGTAAAAGGTAAGGTAAACATTGTAAAAGTACGTATAATAAGAATATATATATATATCCCTAATGAAAAGAGTCATTTTGACCGAGAAATGCGTTCTTGGTCGCGCGGTATTGGCCGCGTTCAGCAGACACAACTGTTGAGTGAGCGCTCAGTATGATTGGTTAATACTTTTAGATCCAGCCAATCATATTAAGAAATTGTTGAGCGCTCACTCAACAGTTGTGTCTGCTGAACGCAGCCATTATTGCCGCTTTTCCGCGATGCCGATTGGTCGGTCGGCTGTTTCGAAATCGCGTCGCGAGAATTTCGCTGGTTGAAGTGCGTTGCGTTTGCGCGCGGCATGACATGTGACGATTTGAATCGTGTCGTCCGAGGTTAGCAGAACGGAGAAAGGGACGAAAATGACGTTGCTAAAACTATATAGTTGGCAGATCATTGCGTCCATCAATAGTAGTCATTGCAACAGCAGACAAAAAACTTTATAAAGAAAATTACATTAAATGATACAATAATTTCTAAAATAAAGATAACTGCAACTAAATTAAATTTAACGCTCACTGTTTCAAGCATTTATGTACATAATATTGATAAATTCGCCTATCATTATCTCACTTTTGCTTTTTATTTAGTGGTCAGTGATTATAACTTTGATTATCTTAATATTAAGA